TTAAAATTGTCTGTTGTGTACCAAATGTTCCTTAACCGCCTCCAAAATCCTATTTTTATCCTTAGTGATTGTCAAAACATTCAAATGAGGCAGTCTTTCCTCGTGTGCCATTTTGTAGACATTCTTTAATGATCCTTCACTTTATATCCATGTCTAGAGTCTTCCTCGCTTTCTTGTATGGATTAGAACTTATAGAGGCATGCCTTCTTTAGCTAGACATACTTTGGGAGTTATAGACAGTGGTGATGCAATAGCTAAAGTATTCAACAGCTAACAGGCTGGTGGTTTGACCCCATCAGGCGCTCCTCAAGAGAAAGCTATAGTGGTCTCCTTCATAAAGATTCAAGACTCAAATCAATCTGCCTCATAGTGACTCTATACTAGGATAGAGTAGAGCTGCCCCTGTCGATTTCTGAGTCTGCAATTCTTGGGGGGAGTTGATGTCTCTCCTCTCTCCTGCTGAGAGGCTGGTGGTGAGAATACTGCCTTGGAAATCCTATGGAGTCTTGCTGTGTCTTACCAGGGTTGCTAGGAGCCCTCATGGTGCTATAGGCTAGGCTGCAAGGTCAATGATTCAAAGCCATCAGCTGATCCAAGGGAGAAGGTGAGGCTATCTGTTCCTATAAAATGTACAGTACTGGAAACCCTTAATAGGTTCACTATGAGTCCTAATCGACTCATTGGCAGTGCTTTATAAAGTAAAATAAAGGTCTCTATGAATCAGGAAAAAAGCAATGGATTTGGGTTTGTAAGCAGTAGCGAATAGTATTTAATAAACTATGGACTGCTGGAGAATGAATAAATCCATCTTGGAAGAAGTACAGCTAAAATGCATCTTAGAAGCGGGGATGGCGGTATTTGGGACGTGCAATCGGGAGGGGCTTCCTTGGCATCAAGTCGTTTCTGACTCAGTGAACAAATGCACTGCACTGGGTAACTGTGTAAAGTATTGGAGAACAATGATGACACTTTGAGTGCACCTGACCTAAGCCATGGTATTTTCAGTCACTTCATATGCATGTGAAAGTTGGACGTTGAATAAGAAAGAATGAAAGTTGGAAGTTGAATAAGAAAGAATAAGACAGGAGAAGTGGATGCTTAGTGACAATAACGGATACAGGGGTTGAGAGGGGATGCAGGGGTCGGGGGATGTGATAGGGAGGGATAGGGAATTTCGGAAGTGGGAAATGAAGGTGGGAGGTGGGGGGAGCACTAGAACTATTTGCACAACTCGTTATAAAGGTGATTTAACCATGCTGCGGGGTGTGTGTGTGTGTGTGTGTGTGTGTGTGTGTGGTGGTGGTTGTGAGATATGTTCCAAAATTGATATGGTAATGATTGTACAATTCTCCTTGATATGATTGGATGATTGAACTATTGAGCTGTATGCTATGTAAATTATGTGCCAATAAAACTGTAAAAAAAACTAAAACAATTGGTCTGCTCTGCAGTCAGTCCCTGACCAAAACAATTTTATTGGCATGTAATTCGCATGTCATACAATTCAACAGTTGAATCATGTCAAAGACAGTTGTGCAATCATCACCACGATCAATTTTAGAACATTTTCGTCTTTCTTATACTCATGGTTACTGACTCATTTCCTCGTAGCTCCCCTGTCATACCCCACAAAAATCATTAATCCAGTTACTATCTCTATAGATTTTCCTAGCCTGAATTTCATAAACAGAAATCCATACAAAACAAAACAAAACAAAACAGATCAAAACCTCAATAGAAGAGAAAGCAGATAGGGTGCGATGTAACAATGATGAGAAATACAACTTTCCTCTAGTTCCTAAATGTTTCCTCCCCGCTCCCACTACCATGACTCGAATTTGACCTTGCAAGTCTGGCTAGACCAGAGGATGTACACTGGTACAGATAGGAACTAAAAATACAGGGAATCCAGGGTGGATGAGCCCTACAGGACCAGTGATGTGAGTGGAGAAACAGGGAAGGTAAAGGGAGAATGGGTAGGAAAGAGGGAACCGATTACAAGGATCTACATGTGACCTCCTCCTTGGGGGTCGGACAACAGAAAAGTGGGTGAAGGGAGACGTCGGACAGGGCAAGATATGACAAAATACCAATTTATAAACTATCAAGGGCTCATGAGGGAGGGGGGAGGGGGGAGGGAGGGGAAAAATGAGGACCTAATGCTGGGGGTTTAAGTGGAGAGAAAATGTTTTGAGAATGAAGTACAAATGCGCTTTACACAATTGATGTGTGTATGGATTGCGATAACAGTTGTATGAGCCCCTAATGTTTAAAAAAAAAAAAGAAGAGAAAGCAGAAACTATTAAAACCCCCTTGTCAGTGCCCCACCACTGAGGCCAGGATGGCGAGGAATTCAGCACTTCCCTCAAGAATGTCCGGCCTGCAGGGGCCCAGCCTGGAGTGGCTGAAAAAACTGTCAACCCTGACGGTGACAAAGACAGTCACCAATAAAAACTTGGAAAAGAAAATATTAAAAACTAGAACAAATTTAAAATGGGTCAGATGGGAGATCAAATGATGAGATGTTAAATTTTAACCTAGCTGCATCTGTAGTAATCCACTTTGCAATGCCTGCTGCCTGGTAGCAAGGCTCCTCCTGTACCTGGTCTATAGTCAGAGAGGATACACCAGAGGCTTCATCCATGTGTATTTCCTTCACCTTTTACCTTTTTTTTTTTTTTAAACTGAAACAGCTTTAAAATTCCTGACCTTGCTTTGGCTAATGATACTGAGTTTCTCCGTCTCTTTTTATAGATGTTAAGTCAGTGTGATTCCTATGTGCGTATTTCATCTGGCAAAGTCAAACTGTTTACACTGTGGGGAAAGGGTATTTGCAGTGATCTTGCAAAATTCTATCTTGTGATCTCCAGCTTCCTTTCTATCACTGAAGCCCTATTGTCTGACTACTGGGCCTTCCTCTTTGTTTCCAACTTTCACATTCCAATCACCAGTAGTTATCAATGCATTTTGATTGCACATTTGTTCCGTTTTATACTGAAGATGCTGATAGAATTCTTTCTTTTTTCAAATCATTTTATTGGGGCTCATGCAGCTCTTATCACAATATGTATATGCATCCATTGTGTCAAGCACATTTGTACATTTGTTGCCATCATCATTTTCAAAACATTTGCTTTCTACTTGAGCCCTTGGTAGCTGATAGAATTCTTCGGTTTCTTCATCATTGACTTTAGTGGTTGGTTGAGTAATAGTCATATTAACTGGTCTCCCTTACAGGCATATAGGTATTACTCTATCACAGACAGCGTTGTACTTTAAGACAGATCTTGAAATGTTCTTTTTGATGATGAATGTTAGACTGTTCTCTTCAATTTTTCTTTTTGTTCTTTTTTTTTTTTAAATCAATTTATTAGGGCTCATACAATTCATCACAATACATAGATCAATTGTGTAAAGCACATCTATACATTTGTTGCCCTCATCATTCCCAAAATTCACTTGCCTCTTGGGTTCCTGGAATCAGCTCATTTTCCTTTTTTCCCCTCCCCTTCTCTTCAATTTTTCTTTCCCAGTATAGTAAACCATATGATTGCTTAATTCAAAATGGCCAATACCGTAAGCTCACTAATGCCGGTATACCAATCCATATGCCTTCATTTCATGTTCGATGACTTCCCATTTTCCTAGATTCATATTCTGTACATTCCTCGTTCTGATTATCCAGCTGATTATTCTGTGCCACAACAATAAAGGAAGGTCCCCAAAGCTGTGCTCCTTCCACATCATTAGGGTTGATGCCTCTTGGAGGAAGCAGTTCTTCCCAAGCCTATTTTTGAGAGCCTTGGTGCCTTAATGGATTATGCCTTGGGCTACAACTAGCCAGCAGTTTAAAATTCCCATTTGCTCTGCAAAAGACAGATGAGGCTTTGTGCTCCTGTAAAGGGTTATAGTCTGGGAAACCTACAAGGGTAGTTGTGTCCTGTCCTATGGGGTCCCTGTGAACAGACGGCAGTAAGGTTGAGTTTGTTTGGGTTCCAGCCTGAGAGGCTCATCTTCTGGAACTATATCAGACACTCGTCCAGTGCCATTTGCTAGGTTTTGAGTGGCTAAGTTTTCAGAAGTGGTCAACTATCCTTTTTCCTAGTCTCTCTTAGTCAGGAGACTGCTGAAACATGTTGAGCGTGGGTGACCCTGCTGGCATTTGAAATACTGATGGCACACTTCCAGCATCAGAGCAACACACACGCCACCACAGTGTGACAGAGATGAGAGGTGAACCCTAGTTTGCTTCATAAACGGTAACCTGAAGCACAGTAAACGGTGAAAAACAAATTTTTGGAATTGTTACTCTAGTCTAAATCATGATACTATACTTCTCATCTTTCGAATGTTATGGATCAATCTCTAAGATACATTGTTAGTTGAAAAAGGCAGGATGTAGAAAGTGTATATATATAATATGCTTTGATTTAGATAAGAAAGATACTTTTATACATAGATTCTTTCTGTATGTAAGATTCACAGGAAACTTTGTGTGTAGGGTGGGATCCAGGAATGGGGAACAAAGAATTTGCATGGTATGCCACTTAGTACTCTGAGTTTTTTCTTTCACCATGGTATATATTCACTATTCAAACCAAAGTTTAAAAGGATAGCTATCAAGAAAATGAGAGCAAGAAATAAATAGGGTGGTTTGATTTTTTTTTTCTTTCTTTCTTTCTGGTGTTACTGCCCTGTGGTATATCTCTTAGGACCTTACTTGTACTTTAAGGTAAGAGTTAGCCTACTTGTTCTACCCACTTGCAAGTATATTGAAAGAATAAAACAGTAGATGTGAAAGCACTTTGAAAAGCTTTAAGCTCTTGGTGGCAGAAGGACATTGTTGATGCATTTGAATGTTTTGCTGATAAGTTCACCAGTTTTCTTTTAGCTTTGTTTTAAGGGCTCAGAGCATGGAGGGAAGATCAGTGTACTACTTGGTAGTTAGATGCATAAAAGGTGCCTGTGTAGACATAACATGGTTTTGATGTGGTTTTTAGAATCAAGAAATGCAGAAATTACTATGAAATTCTGGGAGTTCCACGAAATGCCAGTGATGAAGAGCTTAAGAAAGCTTATCGAAAACTCGCCCTGAAGTTTCACCCAGACAAGAACTGTGCTCCGGGAGCAACGGATGCGTTCAAAGGTAGGGTCCTGAACAACTGCTTAATTCTGCCTCTGTAGGTTTTGTGATGGCTGCTCCTACCGAGTTGTCTCCACTCTCACGTATATTGGCACAATCAGACCATAGCAGGTTTTTGCCCCTTCCTGCCTTCATTTTAATGACTTTTGGAAAAGTATTTGTTCTTTCTGCAGTGCCGAATTCAGCCATTCATTCAATGACTACGCAATTATTTATGGAAGACTTTCTATGCAACAGTTGGCAGGGTGAATAAAATTGACATGATTCCTCTGGTGGAATTTAGGCTAATGGAGGCTTGCAGGTAGGCCCTAAGCAGCAATCCCAAACTTTTCATCATGAAACTTTGTTCATGAACCTAACTGACATGTGCATATGAAAAGACTGTGTATAAAAATGAGCATAAATACAGTGCTAGGTAAAATCTTTTCCCACTGATTCTAATGATAAGTTCATAAACAGTAGTCCAAAGATATTTTGGACTCAATAGATCATAAAAATTTCCAGATGGTGGGGATAGGTTGGAGGTAAATGGGGAGCAAATAATGAGTACAGGAGCGGGAAGAATGCTCGAGAACTGACTGTGGTGATGTTTATACAACTCTTTTGCAAGACGACTCAACTGTGGAAGTGTATAATATGTGATATCTATCTCAATAAAACTGGGGGGGGGAATCCACTCATCCAGTGAAGTCATTTATTGATTCAAGCAAGCATCGTTAGTGGATGTTATAACCATCAATTGAGCGACAGATTCTTGGTGAGATAGTCACATGATCTCAAAGTCTCACTCCACAGAATTACTTATGCTGCTCCGCTTAGTGATTACAAAGGAGAAAATATTTCTTTACAATGAAAATATCTGGTTGTTACTACTTTGGCCAAATGACCCAATTTAGCATCACCAATAGTGGGACAACCTACAATCGACATGCTACAAGCAGCACCTAGGTGGTACTCCTACCAACATGCTGGACCGGAATCTAGCAAAGAAGGAACAATGGGAATGTGGAGCACCTTACAAACACTGGACTGCTCTCACCGCAGTATAATGGGGTGAAAGGTGAGAGACTGTTCTAATTTAAAATAAACTAACAAGACAAAACCAAATGCTCTACATAAACCTTGAATGAACCAGTTGATGAAACTGAATTGATGTTAATTTTCCTAGCTGTGATAATATTGTGGTCATGGAAGGAAATAATCTTTCTTCTTAGGAAGAAAGTTTTATATATGCCAAAGTTTATGGGTAATATATGCCTTACTATATTTGGCCTCCTTTTTAATGATGCAGCAAAACAAATTTATAATGTATAATTCTAGATGTGGCGAGAGCTCTAGTGGTGCAGTGGTTATGAGTTTGGTCAGAAACTCAAAACTAGCAGCCACTCTGAGGGAGAGAGACGGGCTTTCTATTCTGCACATAGTTACCCTTGGGGAACTCACAAAAGCAGTTCTTCCCTGTCCAATAGGGTTTGCTAGGGGTCGATATCTACTCCATAGCAGTAATTTAGTTTTTTGCTGTTGTGATTATTATCTATTTTTGTGAATGTATGTATGCTTTTATGAAAGGAAAGTGATGTGGCAAATATACTAATGAGTGCTGAATCAAATTGAAGGTTATACAGGCAATGTTTGTACTTTTTTTTTTCAACTTTAATGTAGGTTTGAAATTTTTCAAAATAAAATGTAGGAAACAATAGACCTAAGAATAAAAAAATTTTAAATCCTGTGCTGAGGGGAACAATCTGCTATTGTGAATATTGCCATTAAGAGTCTAATTCTTAATAATTTCGACAAGGAAACAGCTTGAATTCTTTTTTACACTTTCTTTTTTAAACTTCTATTGACACATAATACACATATCATACAACTCAATAGTTGAATCATATTAAAAAGAGGTGTGTATTAATCACAACGTTTTCTTCTTGCTTGTCCTCATTGTTATTAGCTCCTGATTTTCCCCAGTCCCCCTGGAACCATTAATCTAGTTACTGCCTCTCTAGATTCACCACTTTTACACTTTCATGTAAGGTATCTCACAGACTAATGATATTTCTTTGGGAAATCTGCCAGATTTTAAAGAATTTGAATGCTTAAACAAATGTTTAAGGTTATTTAAGGTTTTCTGCTTAGTTTTATCTTTTTCTTTTTTAATCATTTTATTGAGAGTTCTTATAACAATCCAGACATCCATTGTGTCAAGCACATTTGTATACGTATGTTGCCATCATTCTTTTCAAAACATTTTCTTTCTACTTGAGCCCTTGGTATTAGCTCCTCATTTTTTTCCTCCCTCCCTCCCTCACCCTCCCACCCTTGTGAAGCCTTAATAAATTGTAAATCATTATTATTTTCATATCTTACAGCATCCACTGTCTCCCTTCACCTATGTTTCTGTTGTTCATCCCCCTATGGTGTGTGTGTGGGGGGGGTTTATATGTCGATCATGCAATAGGTTCCCTCTATATCCCCAACTTCCTCCTACCCGCATGGTATCACTACTCTCATTATTGCTCCTGTCCTGGATCCCATGTGTCGAGAGCTCTTATGTGTACCAGAGTACATGCTCTGGTCTAGCCGGATTTGTAAGGTAGAATTGCAGTCATGATAGTGGAGGGGAGAAAGATATTAAAGAAGTAGAGAAATGGTGTATGTTTCATCAGTGCTATACTGCACCCTGGCTGGCTCATCCCTTCCTTGTGACCCTTCTGTGATGGGATGTCCAATTGTCTACAGATGGACCTTGGGTCTTCTGATGCCTGATACCTGATCCTGTTGACACCTCATGATCGATCATACAGGTGTGCTTCTTCCATGTGGGCTTTGTTGCCTCCCAACTAGATAGCTGCTTATTTATCTTCAGGCCTTTAAGACCCCAGACGCTATATGTTTTAATAGCTGGGCACCATCAGCGTTCTTCATCACATTTGCTTATTCTGCTTAACTTTTTCATTCCCATAAACATTGAACACAGTTTCTTAACTTGAATAATCATAAAAAAAATACTCAAAAGGGGGGAAAAAGCTCTTTCTAAGTGTTGACTGAATGAGAGGTGAGACTGCCTTATTTTTTCAGGGCTTCTATTGATTATATGCTGGCATGAAATTGGACAAAGTTTGCATGTTTGTACATAGGGAGGAAAGATAATGGTAAATATCTGTAACCCTTTCCGTCTTTGCCCTCTCATTGAAGGAGGGTTAGCTAACAGTAAGACAGAATAAGCCTGTGAGGAGGACTTTGCTTTTACCCAGCAGGAGAGTTCCTTTTTATCAGGTTACATTTTTACTGGTTATTTTATTGTTTCTTGCTGCCAGTTCAGATAACACTATGAAGTATGAACTATTTCCAAACCATAACCATTACTCTCAGTGGAAACAACATCAAAACTAACATTGGGAAACACTCTTTTATTCTGATGTGTGCTCTTGACCTTTTTAATGCTGCTCGGCGAACACTTTCTAGAAGAAACTTCATTCCCTTCTCATTGGCATGTTGCCTCCCACCACACGTCTGTCAGTGTTGTCCCTGTGGTTTTGTGGTATGCTCACTTTCAGCTTTCGATCTGTTAGTACGAAACAGCGTTATTAGAGCTGCAAGAACCTTCCAAATGAAAGAAAAATATGTATTACCGTTACTCATTTGAAATAAACTCTGGTGGTCACTTAAACTGTGGCTGGCTTTTGTGGTCTGGCATGATCGCACACTGCAGGCTAATGGAAATGCTAATTTGGCTTTTTTTGAAGGAGGCTATCCTCTGCTGTAAGCTCAACGCCGCCGCTTGATTCCAACTTATCAAAGATCTCTGTTTTAGGATAGCTTGTTCTTTGCATTCTTCTCTGTTAGCCAAATAATGCCGGTGCTTGTTCCTTATATCTGCTTTTGGAATATTTTAAGAGTGTAAGCAGACTCTAATGGACAATTCCAAAAAAGAAGAAGAAGCAGATGTAAGTACAAATTCTCACAGATGGTAGAGATCGCAGGCATAAAGAAAGGAGGCAAAGGGCTCCTCCACTGGCTGGAGGCACTTCCTCACTGTCATGAGTAAGTGGGCAGTGTGGCCAGCCTGAGCTAAGCACAGATATGTGCCCCGAAGCGCCTGCTATCAGGTGGTCTTATTTTGATGTCCTGAAGAACACATTGTTGATGAAGAGTGCTGGCCCATTTGGCCGTGTTTCCCAGCAAGCCTGGATTCGGCAATAGAGCCCTGACTTCCAGGACAACTGGAGTAGTCCAAGGGCTGTTGATTACAAGTGAACTCTCACGTCATCAGTAGTTCTCCGTTTGGTTGACTCTAGTGCTGCTTCTGGCTTATCAAACTAGAAGATGGAAAATGTCAAGGGCAAGCATGTGGGTGAACTTTCTAGGCCCAAGCACTTCCCCTTGGGCCCCTGTGAAGCTATCCAGTAGCAGTTAACTCTGGGCCCCTCATCGCTCCTGTGATCAGTGCTGGCTACAAGAAAACGTGTGTGCTCACATGCTTCTTGTTTTCATTGCAGCGATAGGAAATGCCTTTGCAGTCCTGAGCAATCCAGACAAGAGACTCCGCTATGATGAATATGGAGATGAGCAGGTGACTTTCACTGCACCTGGAGGCAGACCTTATAATTACTACAGGGACTTTGAAGCTGACATCACTCCAGAAGAACTGTTCAATGTCTTCTTTGGAGGACACTTTCCCACAGGTTAGTATCCTCAAATTATTCTTAAAATAAATAAATGCACACACGCATGCACTAACATGTCTGAACAGAGCATCAGTGGTATGGTAGAAACAGCAAAGACTTGGAACCAGTATCTGGGGTTTCCAGTTGTGCATGGTTTTGACTGAATTTCATAGTCACTCTAACCCTGTGTTTTCTCACCTCAATGTGGGGCTGAGAAAATGCCCACCTCACAAGCCTTCTGTAAAGTTGAAATATTTTTCAGTACTTTATACACAAACAGCAAAAATGCCTGTCCTTATTATTG